TGGGAAAGTGGAAACAATGAAAGCACGAAATCTCGGTTTGGTTTTTCCAGCTCTGCCTGTTCATATCTCCCAGGACTTACCCATGGTATTGGATGGCAGCACTGGCCTGGGAGTCCCTGATCCCGTTTTGCAATCTCCCAGTGTCAGCCAGCAGCTTGGGCCTTCCTGTAAGTGCCCCAATGGTCATGGGGAAGGAATGTTCCCCCAGCCACATGGGGAAAGGTCACCACAGGCAAAGGGGACACTGGGCGAGCGGCGTGGCGCTCCCGCCCCTGGCTGATGAGGGAAATGCCAGTCAGCATAGAGCCAAAAACGTTTTGGCTCACAGGGAAATTAAAAAAACAAATGGTTCAGGAGGTTAAATATTTTGGGCAAGGTCCTGCTTCCTTTCCTAGGGCAGATCTTGGAGCAGATGCAGTGCCCAGGCAACGTCCAGGAGGATGTGTCTGTGTTTCATCGCTCTTAGCCGGAGGATGTTTGCTGCTGAATCCGTTCCCAAAAACATCTGCGTGTGCCTGGGACAGTGGTTTTGGCCAGTTACTGCTGCTCTGAACAGCCCTTGGGCTGAGCAGCACGTTGTGGCTCTCTTCCCTTCCTGCCCCAGGCTTGCCAACAAACCTCTCCCTTACATGCAACTCGGAAGGAAAGCTGTGACTCGTGGTGGCTGTGGCTGCCGCAGGATTAACATCCGACTTTAAGGGCTTAACTCATCCCTGCCAGCCAGGGCTTCCAAGTAACTGCCATGCCTTTTCCTTCCACCCTGAGTTTGTAGCTGCTTTAGTCCTGTACTTTACACCCCATTCTCTGGGATGCCTTGGCTAAGCTCGAGCTTGCTCCTGGCACTGTTTTTGGAGCCTGTTGGCTGAAGCTCCTGGGGACGCTGTTCGGGTTTATCGGGGCGGGGGCGGAGCGGAGCAAGGAGGAGGAATTTCTAGGTTGGGCTTGCAAGTGGAGTTTTTCAAAATTCCCAGCGTGTTAAAAAAAAAACCACAAAGCTAATCTGCCCCTTCGTCTCTAGGTTACGTTTGCCTCGGCCGAGGCTGAGCTCATGGAAAATTGCAGCTTAGCTCCTGTGCTCCGTGCCAAGATTAGTAGGTTTAAAAACTAACCGATAACATCTTTGTAAACTTGGAGTCATTTCTTTAAAGCCTGCTGAGCCTTTCAGCCTGGATTTTGGAGCTTTCCTAGAGATCCAAGAGAGCCAAGCAGGACGATGGTATCGGCCCTGAAAAATCACCCAGGAGCATCACGTTGCCTTCGAACACCCCAAGGGAGGAAAAAGGCTGCTGTTCCCTGAGACCCTGAAGGGTGTGTTGGGATGCTTCTCCCTGTTTCTAACCAGACACAGGGCACGGGACGAGGCTCTGGACATAACTTACAATAATCACCGGTTTTATTTTTTAAAAAAGTACAATAGAAAAGTACCTTTAAACATATTTCCAAAAGCAGAGTAGACAACGTGGAAGCTTCTCTCCTCTCCATGAGACAAAGTACAGGAAATAGTTTGCTAGAAGAGTTAGTCCATCGCTTGGGAACATTGATATTGCTGCTTCTAGAGCCACTCTGAGGTTTGCCTTGGAACTGATTCTTCTCACATCACCTTTATCAATCCCATTTTTTACAGAAGACTCCAACGGGACGGTTTCCCATCAAGAAAGTTCCCATTTTCTCACCCCCCCTGCCCCACCCCAACAGCTGAAGTTTCAGTCATCTTATTTTGGCCCACCCACAGGACAGGAGGAAGTAGGAAGGAAAAGGTGATGATGTTTAATGAGGCTATGGACAGCTGGGAAAACAGCTATGGCAAGGTCCGGGCAGTGGCTGGGCTCTGTTCCCTGCAGCTGGAATGGGGATGGAAGGAAAGGCAATGGAAGGAGAAATCTTGAGCCTCCTTTTGCAAGAAACTGAAACCTGATTAAGGTTTTGGGTTGTTTTGCCCTGCTCTTTCTTTGTCCAAATTCCTCCTGGAATAAGGAGGAGAACTAGTCAAGCAGTCTCTGCTGGTACACAACCTCTGTAAAGGATGTTGGCAGCCTCCCTTCTTGTCTTTGCACATGGAAACACGGGAATGCCACACAGTAAGCAGCATCACCTCGGTGCTACATCCCCAGTCCTGGTCAGCCCAGCACTGCAGCACAACCAGAGGCACATGTCTAAGCCCCTCGTGGGGGACTCATGCCCAGCCTCGAGGAAGCTGGTGAACTGAGGGTCTATTGATACTTTTTTCTCATACAGCAGTTTAAGTTGCCGATAACAACTTGAAGCAGTCATGGCAGGAGGAGGAGGAGGCAGATTGTCCCCTTGCTACATGTGTGGGCTGTGTGCCCATCCCTGATCCGAGCCGTTGTACCCCGCAGAGGCTTTGCACAGCAGCTATGAACACAGCCCTAAGGTAAAAATAACACCATAAGAAAGTTCTTGATTGTCCTGCCTGTTTGTCATTTGGTACAACTGGGAAGAAGAAGGTAATACTGTAGTGTCCACAGATGTCTTGCTGACACAACCGGAGCACAGTTCCTACAAACCCACATCGTATGTCTCGACATCCGCACGCAGGTGAACATCATGCCTTGGACATGCAGCTGATGGGCCCAGGGATAATAAGACTCTTAATTACACACCTTCAAAAGTCAAGCACAAAACTTGTGGTCCAACCCGGTGTAAGATTGTCCTGTTGAGGAGGTTTGGTACAAAAATACTTGCTCTCATTCTGCTCTTTTTTTGTAGTCTGCTTTCCTGCGGTTCTGTTTGAAAAGCCTTTTCAAACACTACAACAATGCCTGTCAAACCATGCTTTCAGGGGTAACACACTCTTCCTTACAAATATACAGTGTAAAAGAGGAAAATATTATTACTAGGTATGTTTTTTTCTTCTAGGAGAGCAGATGTGTGATAGAGGCTGTGGGAAAGTCTTGGAGTAATCCAAACTTTTGTGAGGGGTTTTTTTTTCAAGCCTGTAACAACAGAGAGAGGTGTTAAAAAAAGGAAAAGCAGCTGTGACGGAGGAAAAAGGGCTGTGTTTAATCTCTCTTCCTCCATGGGGAAGCTCCTGTGCTGCAGGGTGGGGAAGAGGGAGGCTTGTTTTGGAAGCCCGTGCTCCAAGGACAGTTGTTTAACCAGGAAAGGGCAAGGTGGGAAATGCCTGTGGGGTAAAACTGTCAGCACCCCGGGCACAAAGAACCCCACTGGTCCCAGTTTGGCTGTAGCCCCTGGGGTTTGAACTGGGAAACTGAGAGTTAAGTTCGAGTTGAATTTTGCACTTAGGAGGCATTCAGTCTCTGTTGATCCAAGGCAGGAAGTGAGGACGGAGATGAGATTACCGGGGGTAATTCAAAGCCGAGAGGCATTCCTTGGCTGTCGAAACTCTCACCCCAGATAACAGCGATAAAGGTGGGAATGGCAGAGCCATGGAGCAGGAGCAGCGATGCCATCCTGCAGGGATCAACCCCGGGGTCATGCCTGCCTTGCTGTCTATTCCCTGGGGTTATCATGTTGGCTTCCTCACCCCTCACCCACTCTCCAAAGCAGCCAAGTCCACGGGCCGTGTCCCCACGCCGCAGCCTTACCCGCACACTGTGGTCTTGCAGAGAGCATATCAACCCAGTAGCCGCCTTGGAAGACTCCATTAATACCCACAAGACTGACTGTAGGCCACCATCACACACCTGAGACCTGTGGGAGGATGCAGCAGAGGGTAAGGAATGCTGCAGCCAGAGCATGAAGTTGGTGTGCTGTGGGGACAAGTGATGTCAGGGTGGCTGGAGTCAGTGCTTCCTGAGTAAACAGTGTGTGGCTTAGCCCTGCCCTGATGGGCTCCAGGCAGCAAATACAGGGTGGGTGTAGGTGGGAGAGCCAGGTCAGCAGCAAAACCCTTCACTGGGCTGTGCCCTTCCCAGCTAGAGAAGCCTGGCAGGGAGCTGGGAGCTTCCCAACCCTCCATCCTTGCCACCCATTGTGGCTACCAGCGTTGCTGTGGGCTGGTGGACTTGGTCCAAGGGATTCGCTCATCTCCCCTTCCCAAATATGGCTCTGCTTACATTTTAGCTGGAAGCATTGGCACATTGCATATTTTGGAAGAACCACTGGTTCCCAAAGCCTCGCCGCTCCCTATTTTTATCTGCTGGGCCTAAAATAGCCAGTGAATTCCTTGTGGATCCAAGTCTGGGGCTGGCTGCAGCCGGAGCCTTCTGCCCTCCCGGACAAGTGACCTCATGGTCACAGCACAGGGCTGTGGGTGCCAGGCAGATGGGCAGAGTGGTGGCACAGAAGCATGGGCAACTGATTCCAGAGCTTTGGATCCACTGGGGTTTCTCCACCGACGGGTGTGGAAGCAGGAGACTCCCAGCAGGCATCAGCAGCATGGAGAGATGGCGGCTGGGATGGTCTGGGCAGGCTGAGATCACGGAGTAAGCAGTGCTCAGCATCCACCAAACTTCTTTCCCCTCTTCCAGTTGAGTCCTCTTTGTTTATTTATCCACAAAAGGCTGAGTTATTTGCAGAGCACATCTTGCAAGGCTTTTTCCATTCAAAGAGGTCCCAGAAGGAATGCGATCAGTCCCTCCCTCCTGCCAGGCAGCTGGGCGCTCAGTAAGGTTGTGCTTCTCGTTCTGGCAGCCCCCACCACCCTGGGCTGCCTAGAGAGTTTTCATAAAGCTTTAATGAGATAGATGTGTTGTGCTGGGAGGTGGAGGTTGCCTTTGGGGCTGCCTTCTTTTCCATCCCTACACCCTCTCCCTGGCATGAAGCCTTTCCATCCTGCCCCAGGACAATTGGGAAAGTGTTGGGGTGAATGGTGGGACATCCCTTTCCTGGGGACAAGGAGGGCAACTGGACTTATAGTGCCTGCTGGTAAGTGGTCTTGCTAGTGGTCTCGCCACCCACCCTGAACTGCTGGAGAGCCCAGGATTCGCTGTCTGGGGAGCCCAGGGTGAGGGTGGAGAGAGCCCCCAGCCCACCACGCTGGCACAGGAGGGAGTGAGATGGCAGCACTCACCCGACATTCAGCAGAACTGACGGGACTTCCAGCCCTGAGAACCAGCCTCGGAGGGAGGGAGCCAGCGCATCTGCAACGACAAGAGGGGCACAGGGTGAGAGGGGAGTGGCTCCCCATACTGACAAGAGCCAGCTGCTTCTGAGCTCCCTTTTTCCAGCCTTTCCCAGGCACAGGGCAGAGGGAGGTTGGAACACAAGCAGTACAGCCAGCCCAGCTCCAATTCAGACAGTGAGACTGGGGACAAGTGCAGTCCCCAGCATTGCTGCTTCCAGCACGATGGAGCTGGGACAGCAGCACCACAGTCCCACCAAGCAGGAGTGGGCTCACCACCTCTTAACTCTTGCAAAATCCACTTGAGATGAAGCAGAAGACATCAGAGACCAAAACCCAGCAGCTCTCACCACCTGCCTGCTGTGGACACTCAGTGCTCTACCAGATAATACCTCATTGGCCCCACTGTCCATCCTGAGGTTCCTGATCCCATTGCTCTCTGCAGGACACAGCCAAGCAGCTCCAGTTTGGACAATGACACCAGTCTCCAATGCTCCCACCAAACCCACAACACCAGCAGCCACACAGAGACAGGCTGTGGCCCCCAGTAGGTGAGTGGTGTCTGCTTCATCCAGGGGCAACAGAAAGGTGCCACCACCATCCTCCACACAATGCTGGTTCTAAAGCCACAGTAGATGAAATTTCTTCTGTCTTAACATCAGGTCTCAGAGTAGGCTTTCCCGAGGGACCCTCAGAGCTTCCGTATTCCTGAGTTTCCTTTGCCATCCGCTTCCCTGAGCAGGGCAGGTGCTGCCTGTTAGCAGTTATTTGACAAGACAAGTACGTAGCTGCAATAATATTTACCACTGCTCTTCCTATGTACAGCAGGGCCTGAAATACTGGAGTTTGATCTAAAGGCTGTGGATGGTTTGTATGCCAAGCACTTCTCCTCACCCTCCTGCTCAAACCAGCCTGAGTGCTCCAGCTTCTAGTGATGGTGGCTCTGGATAACCTGGCTCAATCCTGGCAGGCTAGGGCCCAAAGCCTTTTGGATGTGGTTTATCCAGCAGATCTGTTCCTGTGTGCTTGTTTCTTCCTGCTCATTGCCGAGCTGGAGCTGGCAGCAAGGAGCAAAAGCTGGGATGATGTCTGGCACGGATGCTGGGAAGGCAGCTGCCCATTCCCCCCTCATGGCAGGAGTCTTCTCCCAGCATCCCTGTGATGCCACAAGGCTGGCACTGCAAACAAATCCTCTTCCTCCTCCATTGCCACTTTTTCTCCTTCCCCTGCTCTTCTCCCAGGCAGATGGTTAATTTTTAACAGGCACGTGCTGCCATTGGGGGCCACTGGCTGTGGCAGCCAGCAGAAAGCACTTGTGACAAGACAGCTCCTCGTCAATAAAAGATGGATCTTCCATTTGCACTTCGCTTCCCTCTCCTCCCCATCAGAGCTGCTTGGCCTCACACCCTGCATCCAGCATGCTGCATCCCAGAGATGCTCCAGGGGCAGCCAGGGCTCTGGATCCTCCATCCTGTGCCATACCAGCAGCTGGATGGGTGGTTCGGTGCTGGGAACGATGGAGACGGTCCAGACCTGGTGAGCATCCCCATCCCTCCCTCCCTCCCTCACCCTGAGAGTGAAGGTAGGAAGTTAGAGAGAGGTGTTGGGGGAAAGGCAGGATCCCTGCCAGCGCTCAGCTCCGTTTGGGAGCCATCCCTAAATCTCAGGGAGTGGGGAGTGAGTGCCTGTTAGCTGGGCAGAGGTTAGTGGTGCAGTGAGCACCGAGGGGAAGGGTGGGAAGGACCTGGGGCGGGTGAGCAGTGGTGGCGGATGGGTCGGAATTACCTGGGCGTGCAGCGAAGCGGGATAGGTGAAAGCAGGAGGAGGTAGAGCAGGTGCTAACTCCGCTGGGTACAGAGGGTATGGCCCCCACACTTCAGGGCTACTGGGGTAAAGTGCAGGCACTGTGAGCTCATCTGCAAGAGAAGAAGAGGGAGAGTTAACAGTGACCACAAGGCCGTGACCCCTGCCACGTCCTTCCTTCTCCCCCCAGAGCAGGAGCTGAGCTTTCCCCAGAGAAGTGTGGGATACCACCACTGAGAGCCGACCCACAAAACCAATGCTGAACTCGCCCGCTGGCAGAACACAGGGCAAGGGATGCTGTGGGGCTGGATGCATCACTGAGGAAGCCCAGGATGGGCTTATCATCTCCAAGAGGTTTAGTGATCCCAGGGATTCAGCAGAGGAGAACATGCAGAACAGCAAGGTAAGGAACTGACTGGCCTCCATGCAAGAAATGCTCTTCCAGAAGTGGAAATGGGTACGGAGCACTCACAGCAGGATGTCTCCGAGGCCTCCACCAAGACCCCCAGCCATGAGGCAGAAACTCCCTTGGCATAGTAAAGCAGCACCACAGGCTTGTCCTGCTCCCATACACCATTCCAGGCTGGCTGTCACCTGTCCCCAGGTCCTCTCCAGCACCAGCAGCCACCTTTGGGCACCCCCACACAGCAGGTACTGCTGCTTCCAGCTGGACCCGGCATTCCCTATTGCCACCCACCACATTATCCCTGCTCCTTCCAACATCCCACACCAGAGCCCTGGCATGCTGCATCCACCCATGACCTCCGCATGACATCACATTCCTCGAATAAGGTGTTTTCCCGAGGATGGGGGTGGTGCTTGCCACCCCAAACCCTGGTGGCACTGCCGTGGTGGAGGGTCAGGGGGAGCGTGCGGGGCACCCTCAGGAGAGCCAGGGCTGGTACTCACAGGGCTCACGGGCGATGAACTGAGGTACGGTGGTGGGGAGAGGGGTGCTGGGGTTCGGGGTGCCCACCAGCTTGCTCTTGGCCATCTTGGTGTTGGCCTTGGCGAACTCTAGCCGCAGCGTCTGGGGGATCTCAGGGTCAAAGCGGATTCCCTGCAGGATGGAAGGATGGAAGGTGGTGTGGCTGATGGGGGGGTGAGCACTGCCATGTGCCAGCCCCGCAGCAAAAATAACTCCCCGTTATTTATGGGGTTTTTTTGCAACTTCCAGCCTTGAAATGAGCTAATTTGCTGGGCCCCGAGGTGGCTCACATTCCTCCGGCATCTTTAGCATCGGCACCATATTTGGCAGTCGGCATCCCGCAAGGCCAAGCTCTTATCCAGAGGGATTAGCGGAGCCAAGAAAAAGTTTTACATTGAAAATGAAGAAGGAAAAAGCCCCAACCCAAACTAAAACCTGGGAAGGAATTGGAGAACCAGGGAGGGATTGGAGAACCGGCACCACATGGTTATACCTGTGACTATTTCCAGGTAGCTGGAAGAGTTAACAAGTAGCTAGTTAAGAGGTAATGCAAAGATAGGAAGGAGCTGCTAAAGGAAAGGGAAATGTTTTACATTGAAAATGAAGAAGGAAAAAGCCCCAACCCAAACTAAAACCTGGGAAGGAATTGGAGAACCAGGGAGGGATTGGAGAACCGGCACCACATGGTTATACCTGTGACTATTTCCAGGTAGCTGGAAGAGTTAACAAGTAGCTAGTTAAGAGGTAATGCAAAGATAGGAAGGAGCTGCTAAAGGAAAGGGAAATTTGCTTTTGCAGATCTA